TTAGTGATATTACTACTTTACAGTTATTTTAATATTTGGGGTTCAGTAATAATCATTTCAAGTGTTGGAGTAGAGGGTGCCAGTTTTTTAGAGTTTTAATCCAAATCAATGCCAGCTGGAGCGTGAGCAGGACACGGAGGAAAGGCCCCTGTTGTGACCGGAACGTTCCTGCTGTCCTGAGCAGCTTTGGCCCAATCCACATTTCACTCTCAGTGCCTGAGAGAAAAGTAATTCCCTGTGCAGCGTGCTCAGAACAGCACAGGTGTTGTTGTCTTCAAGGAGAAAGAGTGCATTTATGATAAATGTTACACTATTTGGCTCAAACTGAGCAATTTTTGTACTATTATTAACCTGAAAAATAAAAAGTTCAGCCTGCTTTTGGGTGCCCTTCTAACTTAACCCCAACGATCAAATTGTACATGAGAGAGCTCTTTTTAGATAACATTTATACAATGTTTTAAACGACTTGCTATCGCAGTGGTAGCAGCTTCACATTCCATGGTTTTCCTGTTGGGAATGTTCAGCCTGCTATGAACTTGTCTGAAACTCGTCCTGGTTGGCTGGGGGATATTTTTGTGGACACTGTGCACTACATTTGACTGTTGTGTTCCATCTGCTTGTGAATCCCTGAGGAGGAGCCTCACAGCTCCTGGCTCCGTTGGGTAAAGGTCTTGAAAGCTGGAACTCACAAATTCCCGATGTTTCAGGATGGGTCTTGCCAACAGCATTTGGAATATGCCACAGAAAGGTGGATTTAGGGTGTTTTGCAAAGTCTGTGGCTCCACTTTGTACATCAGAGCGATGCACTTGTACGTGGGAGGGTGGATGTGACAGAGCTACAGGCGCCGTGTTTCCAGTCATGAATTCACCACCTTGAGGGTCTTTCTCCTACGGCAGTTGAGGAATAATGTCGTGTTAGTTTGAGGCATTGTGTTGTATTTCAGATGTGGAAAACCTAAATTATGGCCTAGTAATGCTTAATCCTCTTCACAGTAGATTTATGGTGCAATCTGAAATTAATCTTTTCAAAACGTACTCTTCATTTTGTACTCTATTTATTTTGATTAAAAGTCCTGGAAAAAAAAAAGTATGTTTGAATGTATTGTTCTACTTGTAGCAGAACTTTAAGTTAATCATTTATTATATCATAGAAATCTCTCCCTCCAGTGTCGGAAAGAGTTTTATACAGATATTAGTCTTTAGTTTGCAGAAGAGTTTACAATCTGTCTTTATTTTCCTCATAGCCTCCCTTTAGCAGATAAACTGATAAAAAAACCCAGATAAACTGCCTTCAGAAATCTCTGTTGCCAAAGGGTTATTTCTTAACTCCTTGAACCAACTCGTAGAGGGTTATTTGGCAATAATACTCCTGATCATTTAAAAGAGAAATTAGGAATGCAGAGTAAATACTAACAAGTCATGACTGCTAAAAACAAAATCCTTTTGTAATTGCCACAGAATACTCATAATTCCAGAAACAACTGGGATTTATACTGCAATACGGATTTTTCCATCAGCTGTTGTCCATTCCAGAAGGATGTACCCTCGTGGCATTAATGTTTTTAGGTATCTTCAGTTTTCTTGTATTGTCATTTTTGAGGTATCTCAAACGTATGTTAAAGCTGCCATGCATTGTATTACTAAATTGTAACTATCAAATAGATAATATATTTAATACAGCCAATAAATAATACAAATGTATTCAAATTTGACTCCGGGCTCCTGTGGTTTTGTGGGTTTTAGTCTCGTTTGTGTCATGTGGAATTTGAGGTGAAGGAACGTGCTCAGTGGCATTAGGAGCTGAAATAACTTTTCTTCTGTAAAGACTTTTTTATTTGTGGGACCCTTGGAATATCACTGTCCTTTTCCTGCCCCGGAGCTGTGTCAGCAGGGACCAAGCCGTGGGAATTCCTGAACCGCTTTGTGTGAGGTCAGGATGGTGCTGGGACAGACCTGAGGGTTGAGCAGTGACTTGACCTTTAGGAAGAAGGGAATGTGTTCATAATCCCACAAAATGAGGAATTCCTTGCCATTTTCTTTTCCAGCACTTTACAGGTTGCTTTCCATCCACTTGAGAGAGCAGAGAGCTGGCCTGGCTTAACCTGCACTGCACCTCTTGGCTCCTGTGGGAAGGAAGGGACGTGAGTTCTGTTTCCCAGGTTTGTGAGTAACAGAAAGGTCCTGAAAACCAGACAAATCTCTTCCCAGGAGCTTGGTGAGGAGGAGAGGATGGGAGGGGCTTTATTTGACCACCAGTCTTGCAAATGAGACAGTCGGACACTCAGCCTGGATTTACTTTCCACTTGAGAAAAGATCAGGGATGACGAGCTGGGAAGTGCCAGGAGGGGGGAGATGAGGGTGATGGGGGCCAGTGTGAGGGAAAACCCACGGGAAGGCTCTGGGAGGCTGGAATTACAGCCAGAGGGACAGGGACACCCTGCAGAAGGATGTGCCCATCCACAGTCCTCAGGAATTCCTCCATAACCCGGGAATGGGGTGCTGGCAGAAGTGAGAGGGGTATCAGGTACAACACAAACCTCCCCCGTCCTCCTCAGAGCTCAGCTCTTGCAGCTTCTCTACTCTGAAGGGCTGTTCAAAAGCCAGAGTTTTTTGGAGCCAAATAGTGTGGGATTTGGGCTGGAAAGGTCAGTGCTGAGCACAGTCACTGCATTGTCCGGCACATCCCAGTTCTGACGTTGTGGAGATTCCTGCTGCCCTTTCCAACAGGCAGAAGCACTGGCTGTGGGTGTTTATTCAGGGGATTTAAGCACTTGGACACCTCTAAACAAGAAAAGCTGTGTGTGTGCCATGGTTCTGCTTGGCTGCACCTTAAACACCTCCTGTCTGTGAAGAAATTCCCAGTTAAATTTCGTGGGATCACAGGCTGGTTTGGGTCGGAACAGACATTAAAGCCCATCTCGTTCCACTCCACCCCCTGCCATGGGCAGGGACACCTTCCACTAGACCAGGTTGCTCAGAGCTCCGTCCAGCCTGGCCTTGGACACTTGCAGGGATTTAAAATTTGTGGGATTTAAATCCTGCATGCACCCTGAGCAGAGCCGTGCCTGGCATGTGCTCGCCCGGGCTGTGCTCCGGATTTCTCGGGGCAGATAATTCCCAACTGGCAGACACTGCCTGGGATGAACGACCCCGGCTCGGTGGTGGCAGATGGAGGAGTCAGAGCCCGGCCGGGACATGCCATGACCCCATTTCCTGTTTTCCAGTGCTGAAAACAAGCCCAGTGTCTGAGTGAAGAGGAAGGGTGGATGCTCTTCCATTGGAGCAATGCTCAGTGCCCACAGAATGCAGAATTCAGACATTTATCCTGGAGAAAAGGAGGCTCAGGGGGGACCTTCTTGCTCTCTGCAACTCCCTGACAGAAGGGGGGAGCTGGGGGGGGGTCGGGCTCTGCTCCCAGGGAACAAGGGACAGGAGGAGAGGGAACAGGCTCAAGCTGTGCCAGGGGAGGGTCAGGTTGGACATCAGGAGGAATTTCTTCATGGAAAGGGTGGTGGGGCACTGGAAGGGGCTGCCCAGGGAGGTTTGGAGTCCCCACCCCTGGAGGTGTCCAAGGAAGGACTGGCTGTGGCACTCAGTGCTCTGGGCTGGGGGACAAGGTGGGCAGGAAGGTGTTTGTGGCCTTGAGGACAACTGTCTCCTCTGTGGAAGGTGGCTCTCCGTGTCTCCTCCTCACTGCTGGTTTCCCACATAAATCCTGCAGGTAGCTCCTGGTCGTTCTTCCCAGCCTGGAATATCACCTGTGGGTGGGTGGGGAAGGTTTCCCAGCATGGATCCAGGGGGTTTTGGGGGTAAATCCAGAGTCCCACTGCAGTTCAAACATCATTTTCTCTCCTGCCTCAGGAACAAATGGAGTGAGAGCCATAGCCCCATGTGCCAAGTTCCAGCCTGACCCAGAGCCCGCGGTGGAAGAGCTCCCCCACCACTTCCCTAGAACAAGGGAAAAAAAGTGGATTTTGTTTGTTGTCTAAGGTCAGTGTCTGGAATTCCTCCTCCCTCCTCCTCGCAGGATGTTTTTGTGTAACGCTCTGACTCATGGAAGTCAAATGACTTGGCCTCGGAGCTGCGGTGCTCCGGCCAAGCTCCTCGGCTCAGGAATTCTGTGCCTGCCCCTCATGCTGGGTGAGGGTTTTCCAGCCCCTGCAGGCACTGCCGGAGCCACGGGGCTGCTCCTGCCCCCCAGCAAGGTGAGCCCAGCACCCTCAGCACCCCCAAAGTTTTGGGATGTGTTTCCATCCAAGTTGGCTGATCCAGGTGCTGGACACCTTCCTGGGTGGGGATGGGGAGCAGATGGAATGTAGCAGCTGCTGGGACGTTCTGCAGTGAGGTACAAGGTGGAGCAGAGGGAGCTGCTGTTCCTTTCCCCCTCTCTCCGGGGAAGCTCAGTGGGAGTCCCTGGGACATCCTCGTCCTCCAGCCCTTGCTTCAGTTGGACCATCCCAGGCAGTAACAACATGTTGCAACTGCTCCTGGAATGCTGCTGATCCCTGTCTGGCAAAATCTCAAGAAAACTTTATCTTTGGTTCTGTTTTGTCTCTGAAAGGGAGAAACTTTGATGAGACCCGCATGGAACATGCTCTACATGACTTTCAAATCCATCCAGCTGCCACGAAAACAAGATGGAAAAAGCTTTTAAATTTGCTTCCTAAGTGGAACCAGTTATTTTCAGAGCAGTGGAAATACACAGGAACACACTTTCTGTTTTTATCTAGCCCTGGGAATGCCAGCAATTTAAAAAGTGGCTTCAAAGCCAGTAATAAAGTAACAAAACATCCCCTCCTGCTGGACCACGGGGCAGACGGGGGCACTGGGCTGTCTGAAGCAGGGGGGACAGGGGACGGATCCCTGGATCCACCACATTTGTTCTGTGCATCACTTGGTCTCCGGGAATATTTATATTACAAGGAATTTCTGCCCCGCCATGCAGCGTCTCCATGGCAACCGAGCCCTCGCGGCCGCCGTAGCCCGCGCGCCGCTCGGCGGTCACGTGAGCGGGAGCGATGGAGGCGGCCAAGATGGCGTCCCCCAAGAGCGCCCCCAAAGACGCGCAGGTACCGCGGGCACAGGGCACGGGGGCAGCGGGGCGGCGGGGGCTTCCCGCGGCTGAGCCGTGCCCCTCTCCCCCCGCAGGTGATGGCGCAGATCCTCAAGGACATGGGCATCACTGAGTACGAGCCGCGCGTCATCAACCAGATGCTGGAGTTCGCCTACAGTGAGCGGGGCCGGGGCCGGAGGGGCGCGGGGAAAGGCCGGGGGGAGCAGGGCAGTGCTGTATCCGTGTTCCCTTGGGGGTTTCCCGTCTCAGACTTTAACCACTGGGCTCGGTAGTCGCGGAGATCTTTTCCAACCTTAATTCTGGGATTCTTTGAAAGTAATCACAGAGTCACAAAGCCCAGGGTGGTTTGGGTCAGAAGGGACTTTAAAACCCACCCAGTCCCACCCCCTGCCATGGGCAGGGACACCTTCCACCAGCCCAGGTTGCTCCAAGCCCCGTCCAACCTGGCCTTGGACACTTCCAGGGATGGGACAGCCACAGCTTCTCTGGGCAACCTGTGCCAGGGCCTCCCCACCCTCCCAGCCAACAATTCCTTCCCAATATTCCATCAAACCCTGCCCTGGCAGTGTGAGCAATAACCCTGCAGGGAGTCGTATTTCCAGTGCCAGGGCTGGGAGGGAAGGGTTGAACTGAGCTGTCCCCCCAGGGTACGTGACCACCATCCTGGAGGATGCCAAGATCTACTCGAGCCACGCCAAGAAGTCAAGCGTGGATGCGGACGACGTGCGCCTGGCGATCCAGTGCAGGACAGACCAGTCCTTCACCTCCCCCCCGCCCAGAGACGTGAGTGCAGCCCCCCTGCTGCCCCCACAGCCCCCCTGCTGCCCCCACACCCCCCTGCTGCCCCCGGGGCAGGGGAGGGGGCAGGAGGGACGTGGGCCTGTCATGTGTCTGCAGTTCCTGCTGGACATCGCCCGCCAGAAGAACCAGACGCCGCTGCCCCTCATCAAACCCTACTCGGGGCCGCGGCTGCCCCCCGACAGGTACTGCCTGACCGCCCCCAACTACAGGCTCAAGGCCCTGCAGAAGAAGGTGAGGGCTCTGGGAATGGGGAATCTGGGGATGCTCCTCCTGGGGTGGCAGCAGTGGGGTTGGGATGATGGTTTTCCACACCTCTGGAAGGCACTTGTGGGCAGGTGTTGAGCTGGGCTCGTCACTGGGTGTTTGGAACCATCAGTGGGTGTTTGGAACCATCAAGTGAATATTTAGGACCATCAGTGCCCTCTGTCTCCAGCCTGCATTTGCAAATATTATTATGGCCAGTTAATCTGAAATGCAAAATGTGTTATAAAATCCATCTGGGAGTTTTGTAGCATTTAAGCAGTATCACAGAATCACTGAGGTTGGAAAAGACTTTCAAGATTCAGTCCAACCTGATCCCCACCTTGTCCCCCAGCCCAAGCACTGAGTGCCATGTCCAGTCCTTCCGTGGACACCTCCAGGGATGAGGACTCCACCACCTCCCTGGGCAGCCCCTTCCAATGCCTGACCACCCCTCCCCTGAGGAAATTCCTCCTGATGTCCAGGAGGAACTGTCAGGTTGAACATCAGGTTGTCAAAGGCACAAGCCAGGCTTTGGTGTAGATATTAAGGGGTATTTTGTACTTCCATCTCAGTTTCTGCTTTAGAGGGAAAAGATTGACTTTGCTGGCAAACACTGTCTCAGTGTGGGGACTTCTTATTTATTCCCTGATTCCCTGGTTCTCTCCCCCAGGTCTCCTCCACAGCAGGCAGGATCACAGTCCCTCGCCTGAGCGTGGGTGCCGTGAGCAGCAGACCCAGCACTCCCACTCTGGGTAGGAAACAGCTCCAGGGGGGGGTTCCCACCTTCATTTTATGGAGGGAAAATAGAGAGGAATAATTTAAAGGACTTTTCAGCCACTGAGGGACTGTCAGTGGCCACCTGACCTTATACTGACAGCTAAATTAATTTAATCTCTATTATTACAGTGATCTTTGATACATATTGACATTACAAATTCACTGTATTTGCGATAAATTCTTTATTTAAGAGACTATTCAAGAAATTTACTGAAGTGTGAGGGTTTTTCCTCAGTGTCAGCGTGACACTGAACTAAACAGAACTGAAAAAGAGCCATTTCTAAAATGTTCACAGAACTGAGGGCTGAGCACATGCCCTTAGAAATAAGTGTGCATTTATAGCCTGGAATTGTGTGGGGCTGGAGGAAATGTGGGAAAAGGAGTCAGTATGTGGTTCTGTCTGGGAATCTGTGTCGGTGTGTCCCCGTGCATTCCCACAGGTTCCATTTTGGAAGCAGATTTAGGAGCGTCTGTTGATGTATTTTGATGGATTTTGAGGGTTGTGTTGGGTTCCAGGTACCCCCTCAGCCCAGACTGTGTCTGTGTCAGCCAAGGTGGGGGCCCCGGTGTCTCTGGCCGGGCAGCGCTTCACTGTCCAGATCCCATCCTCCCAACCTGCTGGGAAGTCAGGTATGGCTGGGATTGCCTTGGGGTTGGAGCACAGGGATAATCACAGGGTGCTTTGGGTTGGTAGGGGAAAAGCTCCTCCAGTCCCACTCCTGCCACAGGCAGGGACACCTTCACTGTCCCAGGTTGTTCCAACCTGGCCTGGACACTTCCAGGGATGGGGCAGCCACAGCTTCTCTGGGCAACCTCAAGTGGGAAGTAACCTCCCCTCTCCCTCATTCCAGTATCTTCCAGTGTCCATTCCCAGCACAGCAGTGACAGCCACAGAGCATCAGTGTCTCTCATGCCTTGGCTCCACCTCTGGGCTCTCACTCCTCTGTCCTCACCCCACAAGCATTTCCCCACCTTCTCCACTTCCATCTGGGGATCATTCCAGGGTTTTCAGCCTGGGATGTTCAGCCAGCACACTGCTTTATTGCCTTGGAAGTTGTTTCAGTGGGGAAGATCCCCTGTCCTTTTTCCAAGCTCTCACTAAATGATTCCCTTTGGTGCCACAGCCACCCCGACCACCCCGACCGTGCAGAACGTGCTGATCAACCCGTCCCTCATCGGCCCCAAGAACATCCTCATCACCACCAACATGGTGTCCCAGGGCACAGCCAGCGACCCCAACCCCCTCAAGAGGAAGCATGAGGATGAGGATGACTATGACACCTTGTGATGGGAACGGGGCCCTTCCCGGGACTCACAGGGGGTGGGAAGGCTCTGGCCAGGGGGGTGGGAATGTGGAAATAAAGTGGAGTGTGTTTGTAACCTGGCCCTTGTGTCCTGTGCACACCCCCCGTGTGATCTGTGGCAGGTGTTTTTGATCTGGTTTTTATCTCCAATCACAGCCCCTTTAGGAATGCCAGAGAATCCTCTGAGGATCACTCTTTTCCCCTGTTTGTCATCCATGTCCTGGTGTCCCTGACTGTCATTCCCATTGTCCCTTTCTTCCCACAGGAGCCAAACAATGCAGTGGAGGTTTCCAAACACCCCAGCCCTGTATCCCGGGGTCATTCCCAGCACAGAGGCACAAAGAGCCCAGTGCAGCCAGAGCTGGGCACTGAGTTTGGGTGGGTTTTACTCCCGGATCCCCCAGCAAACCCAGCAGAGCAGAGCAGAGGTGGCATAGAGGAGAAGGAGAGAATTCCATGGCATGAGAGAAGGGAACGGGGGATTTCTTGAAGGACAAGGCCCCTGCTTTGCTCAGGAGCCTCAGCCCCTCGTGCTTTTCCATCCCAACAAAGCTTCCAGGCCCAAGGGATCCAGAGCCAGCACAGCACTCACTCAAGTCCTGCTGAAGGAGGAGCAGGGATGGTGCTGGAGCAGCTCCCTCCAGGCCCCAGTTGCCAGCGGCTGTTCCAGCCCCACTCAGGAGCACAGGCTCAATCCCCTCCAGCCTCCAGCTGGGTGAGACTCTGGGCATCTCTCCAGGCAGGGCACAGCTGTGCCTCCAGTGGGAGCTGAGCGGGCTGGGCCATCTCGGGAGGTGGGAAAGCAGGAGAGGTTTGTGCAGGAGCCCCAGCAGAGCTCCCCGTTAGTGAACAGTCCGTTCCTTCTGCCGCTGGTAATCTGGGGGAGAGGCAGAGCCTGAGCAACGGGGGAGTCACCCCAGGGGCAGGAAAACACCTTCTGGCCACACCTGCCCAGGCAGAGGCAGAGCTCGGGCCCCTCTGCCTTTGCAATTGCACTTTTGCATGCCAGCCCCTCATTGACAGCAACAGTTTGTTTTCAACCCTCTCTTCCTCCACTCCATGTTTTCCTTTCAGAAAGAAACCTATTTGGCTTGACTTGATCTCTTTTCTTATCTCTTAAATCTCTGAACTTTATGGGAGCAGAAGCAGAACGTGGGAGTGAGCACAGACCTTCCCTTCACTCACCATTCCAGCATCCCTTAGGAGGGGCATCCACCACTGGCACTGGTGCCAGAGCTCATTCCTGTGTTATCCAAGGATAATCAGCTGCCTCTGGAGCTCTAAATTACCTTTGTCCTTCCCCACCTTCCCCCCTTCCAGCACGAGGTGGCTCAGTCCCGCTCCCCAAGTTTCCCTCATTGTCCTGAGGTGGTGCCTGATCCCAGATCCCGGTCTGTGCCCTGCCAGACTCGGGGGGAGGTGGCAGGGAGGGCTGGAAGGTGCTGCCCCCGGAGCCCCGGCCCCACTCACTGTAGGGGAAGTAGCGCACGCGCATCGTGATCTCCCGGGCCGTCTTCAGGATCTCCACGGCCTGGAAAACAAGGGCTGGGCAGGGCTGGGCAGGGCAGGGCCGGGCAGGGCAGGGCCTTCCCTGGCCCCGTGGGGAGGGGCTGGAAGGGCCTGGATGCCCCCCCTGCCCCAGCTCACCTTGCTGTGCTCGATGTCCTGGAAATCCACGTCGTTCACCGACAGCACCTGGTCCCCCTCCTGCAGCCCCGCCCTGTGCGCGTCTGAGTCGGGGATCACCTGGGCACAGGGATGGCACGGGCTGGGCACCGACCCTCCCACGGCACCCTCAGCACCCACGGGGCACCGGGCAGCACAGGGAGCAGGGAAGGCTCAGCCCCGGCAATTCCCGGGGCTGGGAAGGGACTGGGCAGTGCCACAGGAGGGGCTGAGTGTGGGAAACCCCAGCCTGAGCTGGATCCAGGGGGAACGGACAGGGATGGACACACCTTGGAGATGAAGATCCCCAGCTGGGAGGCTTTTCCTCCCCGGATGTTGAAGCCCAACTGTGGGAAAAACCAGCAGTAAATGGCAGACACCAGGGCCCTTCCCTTGGCCCAGGATCCTTCCCATTCCCAAGGCCCTTCCCTTGGCCCAGGATCCTTCCCATTCCCAAGGCCCTTCCCTTGGCCCAGGATCCTTCCCATTCCCAAGGCCCTTCCCTTGGCCCAGGACCCTTCCCATTCCCAAGGCCCTTCCCTTGGCCCAGGATCCTTCCCATTCCCACGACCCTTCCCATTCCCAGCTCCCTTCCCATTCCCAGCTCCCTTCCCATTCACAACTCCCGCCCCTCTCTCCCAGACGGATCCCGGTCTCTGGTCCCGTTCCCAGCAGCCCCAGCCCCTCTCTCCCACCTCCCGTTCCCGGAACCCCCCGCGGGGCCGCCGCTCCCGCCCCTCCGCAGCTCCCCCTCCCCAATATCCCGCCGGGAGCGATCCCTGCCCGTGCCCCCCGGCCCTGCCCCTTCCCGGCCCCGGGAATCCCGCGGGCCCGCCCTGCACGGGCCGGGTCGGGACCATCGCGGCTTCTGCGGGAACCGCGCCGGGACCGGCCCCCGGGCCCCCGCGGGCTCTCACCTGCGCCCCGGGCGGCTTCTGCAGGGCGATGGTGCGGGGCAGGAACCGCGTGAGCTCGTTGTTGTAGTCGGGGTGAAACACCCGCTGCGGGGACGCGCCAGCTCAGCCGGGGCCGGGCCGGGCCCCCGCCCGGGCGACCCCGCGGCCGCCCCCGGGCCGGCGCGGCCCCCCGAGCCCCCTCACCTCGTGCGGCGGGACCCAGGCGGGCGGGCTCTCGTAGGGCGGCAGGAAAACCACCGGGAAGTCGTCGTAGGGAGCGCGGGGCTCCATGGCCGCCGGCTCGGGCGGCGCGCACCGCGCGCCCATTGGCTGCGCCGGGCCGCGCCCGCCCCGGGGGACGCACCGGCCCGCCATTGGTCCGGCGCTCTGCCGGCCCCGCCGCTTCCTGCCGCTGTGATCGGCGATTGGCTGTGCCCCGCCCCTCGGTGAGGCCCCGCCCTGTGATTGGTTTGAACTCCGCCCGTCGGTGACGCACCGCTCTCTGATTGGCCGGTTTCTCGCGCGGCCCGTTTGAGTCGCGACCGTTGCGGTGCCGCCATCGCGGGCGCGGCGGCTCCGGGCGGGTTCCGGGGCTTCGGCGGCACCGAAGCTGGGATCGGATCCCCGCCCGTCCGCGCTCCCCCTGGGCCCGTGGGGTCCCCGGCGCTGCCCCCCGTGCCGGTTCTCACGGCCCGTTCCGCTCAGGGCCGGCCATGCTGCGCGACGAGGACAAGGGCATCCCGGTGCGCGTGGCGCTGCGCTGCCGCCCGCTCGTGCCCCGGGAGAGCAGCGAGGGCTGCCAGAGCTGCCTCTTCTTCGTGCCCGGCGAGCCGCAGGTGAGACACCCGCACCCCCCGCTCCCGCACCCCCCGCCCGGGCTCGCTGTGACCGTCCCATCCCGTCCGCAGGTCGTGGTGGGCAAGGACAAGTCCTTCACCTACGATTACGTGTTCGACCCCTCGGCAGAGCAAGAAGAGGTTTTCAACACTGCAGTGTCTCCTCTGGTCCGAGGCATCTTCAAAGGTCTGTGCCTTGTTTTAAGGGAAGAGAGTTTTCATCGAATCCCAGGATGGTTTGGGCTGGGAGAGACCTTAAAGCCCATCCAGTGCCACCCCCTGCCATGGGCAGGGACACCTTCCACTAGCCCAGGTTGCTCCAAGCCCCGTCCAACCTGGCCTTGGACACTCCCAGGGATGGGGCAGCCACAGCTTCTCTGGGCAACCTGTGCAAGGGCCTCCCCACCCTCACAGGGAAGAATTCCTTCCAGTATCCCATCTAACCCTGTCCTCTGGCAGTGGGAAGCTACTCCCCCTTTCCTGTTCCTCTATCCCTTGTAAAAAGTCTCTCCATCTTGAGAATAACACAGTGCATTGATACTCAGCCCATCCCAGGAGCTGCTGGTGCTGCAGTGGGTGACAGTGGATGGCAGAACTTGTGCTGTTTCTGACCAGCTCTAGTAAAGCAACAGCCAGTCTTTAAAAAGAGCTGAAATAATCATTTTATCTGTGTTTTGAAGAGCTTTTCATTGACATTTTCATTGACTGGCTGTGCTTGGATTCAGTGTGAACTGACACTTTTCTGGAAGGATGGTTTTCCCAGCTTTGTTCAAAGTCTCCTGTGGTCCCCACGTGACTGATCCTGAGCCCTTTGTTCCCCCAGGATACAATGCTACTGTCTTGGCCTATGGACAGACTGGATCTGGAAAAACCTACTCCATGGGAGGCACCTACACGGCCAACCAGGAGCACGAGCCCAGCGTGGGGGTCATCCCAAGGGTCATCAGGCTGCTCTTTGAGGAGAAGCAGCAAAGGCAGGATTGGGAATTCGTCCTCAAAGTTTCTTATCTCGAGGTAAAAGTTTTGGTTCTCAAACTATTATCAAGTTTTGAATTAAGTGAGCTTTGGGGCCTCCTTCTCCAAGTAATAAATACTGATTAAATCAACACCTAAGGCTCCAGAAACAGGGTCTTACCAAACATATTTTTTTCTAAAGGTGACATGAGTAGAATGTGATGCCAGATTAGCCCTGATTTCAGCATCACTACCCCTTTCTCTGGTGGGTTGTTCTCCTGCAAGGCTGGTAACTGAGCTGCTCTTGTACTGTTCCAGATCTACAACGAGGACATCCTGGACCTGCTGTGCCCCTCGAGAGAACGCTCCTCCCAGATCAGCATCAGGGAGGATCCCAAGGAGGGCATCAAGGTCTGCTGCCCTGGGGGATGAGGGGCTGGCAGGGATGGGGAGGAGTGTGTTGGTGAAACAACTGCCTGACTCCCTGAACATTGGCCAGGGAATCAGCACGGCCACTCCCTGCTCTCAAAACTGGGCTCCTG